GAGTAACCAAATACCCCAAAAACTTTCCTGAGCTCACTCCAAAAATTCATTTCGAGGGGTTTAGTTTTAGGCCATACTTCCGGAGGATGGCGAATGTCGTCCCGAGATCATAGAGATGGTCGGCCCCCTCTTTGCTTTTGACCAACATGTCATCAATGTACACCTCATTCGTTTCGCCGAGCTGGTCTTTGAAAATTTTATTCATCAAACGTTGGTAAGTCACCCTAACATTCGTTAACCCAAAAGGCATCACTGTGTAACAGTAGATCCCTCGAGGTGTGATGAACGTCGTTTTCTCTTGATCTGATTCATGTAAGGAAATCTTGTGATATCCAACCCGAGCATCCATAAAAGTGATGCGCTTGTGGCTGGCTACCAGCTGATCAACCTTGGGCAAGGAGTACTTGTCCTTGGGGAAAGCCTTGTTCAGGTCCATGAAATCTACGCAAACTCGCCATTTTCTTTCTTTCTTCTTGGCGCACACGGTATTGGATAAGCACTGGGGGAACTGTACCTCCTTGATGGATCCTGCCCCCAACAACTTATCCACCTCTTCATCCACATCCTTCACATGATAAGGCGCCGTTCTTCGGGCCTTCTGCCTAACGAATTTGAATAAGGGATTCACATGGAGCCGATAAGTCATCACCTCGGCACTTATCCCCGTCATTTCGGCCTGGGTCCACGCAAAGACATCGGCATTTGTGGAGTAAGAATGAGACTATATCATTTTTCTCTGCGTCACTAAGTGACTCTCCTATCAAAAAGTACTTCTCACCGTTATATGGGCTTAGGAGAATCTTAACCAAGGCCTCAGTAGACCGATCGACCGGTTCTATAATGGGCTCGTCCATTCCCGACCGACCGCTCTGTGATTGCTATTTGGCAACCACCGCATCGAGATCACGCTCCTAACTCCAGCCGCTGACTCCAGTTTTCACCATGGCATAGAAACAGTTTTTCGTCAACGCCTGATCACCCCAGATTTTTATTATGCCCTGCGGTGTTGGAAACTTTATCTTCTGGTGATAGGACGAGTGGGCCGCCTTTATCATATACAACCACGATCTCCCCATAATAGCGTTGTACGGGGAGTCGGAGTCCACTACCACAAATTTCACTGGCATGGTCACCACCCCCGCCCATACCATGAGGGTGATTTTTCCAAGAGGCAGAGTGCTGGAACCATTGAAGCTGATGAGGGGGGTCTTTACGGATTCCAGATCCCCCTGCGAGAATCCCATCTTGCGGAAGAGGTGATCGTACATCACCTCGAAAAAATTGCCCGAGTCCACCAAGATCTTTTTGACATCGAACTTTCCGACCCGCAAAGTGATCACCAATGCATCCTCGTGGAGGAGGACCACCCCGCCGAGATCAGTATCGGAAAATTGGATAACCTCGACACCGCTTCGGGGCTTCTTGGGCGGTCGCTCCTCACCCTTTTCTTCTACCCTGATTGCTTGAGAGACCCTCTGTAACTCGGCACGGAGGGAGTTGTACGTAGGTCTCTCCACTGTGCAGGCATGAATAACATCAATCACGGGCGCTACCTCAGCTGACACTTTAGCTCGCTCTCTCGCCGATCCGTCGGGACGACCCCTGTCGATGAATTCCCCGAGGTGTCCGTCTCGCATCAATTGTTCGAGGAAGGTTTTATAAACCTTGCAATCCTCCGTCAAATGGCTAACATCTTTATGATACGAACAACAGAAAGCCACATTCCTTGTCGATGGGTCTCCAATCATCCTCGGGGGCCACTTGAAGTAGGATTTGTTTTTAATCTTGGGAAGTATCTTGTAAATGGGCTCGTTGAAGACCGTGTTCACTCCCTGGAGGGATAGACGAGTTGGGGGTGGAACAGGCCCTCCCCTTCGGGCCGGCTGCTTCTTTTCCCTTTTTCTCGGCACCGGGACCCTACTTTCGGGAACGACGAATTCTTCCTCCACTCGGGCATATTTGTTAATCCGAACCATCAAATTTTTCATGTCCGTCGGAGCCTTCTTAGTCAGTAATTTGTACAAATCAGTGTCCTGGGATAGCCCCAGCCTAAACGACGCCGTGGCTAATGCCTCCGAACATGCTTCCACCTCGTTGACTTCATCCCAATACTGAACGTCATATGTCGAAGTGTCTCTTCCCCCTTCTGCCTAAGCGTCAACAGAGCGCCGATGTCCTTCGATTTCTTATTGCTGGTGATGAATCGAGCTATGAAAAGCTCCATCAATTTTTTCCAGGACCTAATGCTCTCAGGAGCTAGGTTCTCATACCACCTCATGCCTGTGTCCCTTAGGTTCTCATACCACCTCAGTATCATAGATTGACATCAATTATTTGTATTGCCGAATGTGGCTCTCGGGATCGATTTTCCCATCATAGATTTTGAATCGTGGGATGGTAAACTTCTTCGGTATTTCGGCCTCCTGGATAGCCCGGACGAACAGTGAGATAACTTCGTCGGAGTAGACCTCGGGCTCATGGTTGCGATAAGCAACGAAGTGGACCCTAAGATCCTTTTTTGATCTTTCTTCTCAAGGCCTTCGGGGTGTGGACTCCGCTTATGATTCAGCGGCTCCGACGCCCTCAGGTATCCCTCGACGCAGGTCCCACCGGGACAGGCTTGCTTTCTGGCCCGACTTTGAATTCCCCTTCGAGGCTGAGAACCCCCTCGGCGGTTATGTCCCTCGAGTGAATATCTAATCCAATCTTTCCTTGAGGTCCAATGCCAAGGAGGCCTGGAAAGGTTATGGCTGGGCACCTAGTCCCCGAACCCACGACTATGCCCACCCGCACTTGAAATCGTCAAGACGTTGCTGGACCTTGACGTTTTCTCTCTCAAGCTGCTTAATGCATTTGCCCATCGCTTTTTCACCATCTCAACGATGTTATGGGCCATGATCCATAGGGAGCGTTCTTTGCGAAGAATGCTCCACCCCACCTGATTGGCCCAATGGACCCGGTTCGAGAGCCATTGGAAGCCGGACGGGCTATGCGTTCCTTACACGCAAATTTGCTCCCTTACCCTGAGATCGAGTGTTCACCATCAGACGATCGCTACCGGGAAAGATGCCTTCGTTCCCATAGAAGACGTCAAATTGCACGGGATAATTCTTGCAATAGTTTGAGACAGCGATCTCCAAGTTGGCGAACTTGAAACAACAGGGTCAAAAAAAAGGGGGCTAGGCGAGCGCCCGACTTATCCCCTCCGAAGCTTAAGTTAGTCTAAGGTCGAAGGGTTTCGCTTAATGGACTATTTTTCTGATTCAAGTTTGCGTACCTTTGTCTATTTTTCTTAGGAGTATTTATACCTGAATTAACAATGATTGCCAAAGATCTCCAGTCTCATCTGGACATCTTACATCTGACACACCATTCCTCGTGCAATGAGTGTCTCCTACTCACGTCTCCTCCTCTTAAATGCCAGGAATATGGGATAAACGCTCGGCCAAACGCTGAGCATTTATGTCCCTCCCCCGAATACCCAAATCCCCAAGATCGGCATCTAATATCAATTGAGCATTGAATACCCGGGAGAACAGTTCCTCGGGTGGAGTCGATCGCGTCATCTCGGCGCATCAGCCATTAATGCTTAGTCACCATAATGGTAGGCCTAGACTCCCAAAGAACTGGTGCGGGCGTATTTATTTGTCTTGTCACTATCACTCAGTCCGCCATAAATGAGGGGTCACATCGCATTAAATACGATGTCAGTTGTCGTACTCGGCTGCCCCGCGTCACCATACCTTGGCTTTCCTCCTCGACGTCCTTTGGACATCCCAATGGCTTCATTTTTTCACGTGCCCGGGGGCTGTGGAGTCACCTATAGTCCCGCCACCTTCATCGAATATTTTCATCAGTCAGCATCTTCTCTCTCTCTCTCTCTCAGCTCACTCAAGTTGTTCAGGTATAACTTTCAACATGCATGATACATCTGCATATGCTTTATCATTTAGGTGTGATCCATCAAAACTGTTGCAGAAATTAAACACCTTAGGGTTATTAGTCTCTCAAAAATGCGTTATGCCCGTATCCATTAGATTTCTTGTTCTTTTAACCATTCTCAGCTTAATTGTTACTCCTGTTTTAATGGTTTCTATTCTTTTTGATTGGTATTGTTAAGCGTTTCTTAGTTGCTGTGATTCTTATTGATTCAAGTATTTCAGAATTATTCAAATTAGTAAAGTTTTTGGGTCAGCCTGTTATTACCTGTTAGAAGCTTTTAGTCCTGTCGTTGATTGCTGGCAGTAAACAAAAATTTGCAAAACAATTAAATGTTTTTTTATGAGAATGTTTGCTGTGGAAGAAAATGTTTTATTCCTTATGTTTGATAAGTATTTTTTCTTTTATTACCCCTGGCGTGCAACTAGGAGTTTGTTTTTTGACTGATGCATTTGTTTATTACTTTATTTGTAAGGCACCTAACAAATTGAGTTGTGAAGAGCACTTGGAATAAATGTGATAAAATTAGTCATTTTGAATGGGAATCAAAGGGAGGAACAGTTCTGACTGATAATTACTTGAAGATGTTTAAATTTGATTGGTTTAAATCGTTCATTTGATTGCACAGTTTATGGATAGATGGTCAGAAGAGGATAATCTATAAGCTCACTAAGATATTTACTTAATCAGCACATACCTTTGTTTGTTGATGGATGATCAGGAGTGAATGATCTATTTTCATTCTAAGATTTAACTTAATCAACAATTACATATGTTTGTTCTGATTTAGCAGTATATAGCGGTCTAATGTGGTAATTGTGTTGTTCAAGGACTTACAAGAATTGTCTAAGTTTCAACTTAACTTAGGAATGGATGGCATCATTTGGAATTCATTTTTAGGACGAGAACATGTCATTTTAAACTTTATTAGCTTGTTCCCTGTCAATTTTGAAGATCAAGCTTATGTCTATGCAAGGTGATTGAAATTCATGTAATTGCACCATCGTAAAAATTACTGGAAAGTTGACATGGTCATTAATTAGTTGCACATCTGCAGGTTAATGGCAGCTGAACTGGTCAATGTGAATGAGTTTCAAGAACTGGCAAGGCAGGCCCTTCCAAAGATGTACTATGACTACTTTCGCGGAGGTGCTGAGGACCAACACACGCTTAAGGAAAATGTGGAAGCATTTCATAGAATCATGTAAGGTGTGATACCTACCAATTTAACTAGGGAGCAGGGTACACTACTTTAACTTCACTTTTCTATCATCTCAGTATTCAGCCAAGAATTCTTGTAGATGTTAGGAGGATAGATATGTCGACTACAATATTGGGGTACAATACTTCAGCGCCCATCACGATTGCTCCAACTGGAAGGCATAAGTTGGCACTCCCTGAAGGTGTACTTTCTATTATGAACATTTTTGACTGAATTTGATGTGTAGTTTTGATTCCTGCTGTGGATTATATTTATTCCAGGGGAGGTTGCAACAGCCAGAGCAGCAGCTGCATGCGAGACCATAATGGTACTTCTATTTAAAGTCAAGCTAGTTTGTTTGATTTGCGTGCTTAAATTCTGTGATTTTCTTATTGCAGGCGTTGTCCTTTATGTCTACCTGCACCGTGGAGGAGGTTGCTTGCAGCTGCAATTCTATTCGCTTCTTTCAGTTATATGTATTCCATTTTCTCTTGAGCTCTCATAGTTTTAACTTTTTCATTGATCCAATTTTCTCAAGCAGCACTGGTTGATTGATATGTTTATCTCTGAATCTATTTTTGGGAGCTGACTTCTTAATTTGGTACCTCTGTCAATACTTAATAGGTATACAAAATACGTGATGTGTCAGCTCTGATGGTACACAGAGCCGAAAAGAATGGATTCAAAGCTATTATTCTTACTGCTGATACTCCTAGACTTGGTCGAAGGGAGGCAGACATCAAGAACAAGTGAAACTTTATATCCCTGTGTTTTATGTTATATTTATTCCCATAAACGGGATATTGAATCTTTGCCATTGTCAATATATCATTTATCTAATTTTGGGAAAACCACTGCTATCTAGTGTTTATGGTTTTAAGACCCCTGCCACTCCTTTCTTTTCATTTTGTCCAAAAAAACCCTTGCATCATTTGTGATATAACTGAATCACTTTGCAGAATGATTGCACCTCAGCTGAAGAATTTCGAAGGTCTCTTGTCAACTGAAGTTGTCACTGTGAGTGAAATAATTCTATATTTCTATTCCTAATGTTAGTGTTAAAATATACTTACAAACAACAAATGATCTACTCTATATACAAGGCACTGAGGCAGACAAGCATTATGCCTTCCTCTGTCTCTTAATTTTCCTCAGTAAAGATAGAGATCATTAATTACAAGAAAAAGACAAGACAATAGTAGTCCAACCTTACCAAATAAGAAGGGTCATACCCAGGATCCATGCCTCAATATACACGCTTCCTAACAAACCACTCGGAAGAATAATCAACAATCCAATAACACTTAAAAGTAACCAGCAAACTTGTGAGCATACAATCAATGAACTTTCAACTAGCATGACTATGACCCCAGCATTACATGCACAAAAGCATGGGAACAGTAAATACATGACTGTGCTCCCATCAAAGAACAGTGCCAAGAATGAGTGGAAATGGATTCATCGCTGACCAGCAACACGATTTTAAATGCAGCCTTCTGGCGTAGAAACTGGCCAATACTGCTTTTCCTGGCAGCTAACCTATCTGGGAAACTCTGTGAGCAGTAAGTTACATCTATTATCCCTATTTTATCGTGCATTGGGGAGAATTTATTGTGACAATATCTCGAAAACAAGCATATTTGTATACCAGCATAGCCAGTTTTATTCTTTGAAGCAAGTGTTGAAACCATTTTTCTTTAACATATCCAGTCAACCACAATATTAGCTGATCCAAAGGACAAGACTTCTCACCCTTACTCCAGCTGGTTCTAGCAACTCAACCATGGTCAAGGTTGCAGTATCGGCCATCGACTCGAAGAGCTCTGAGACACATCGGCCACGGTGTGGTACCGAGCGATACGACCTAAAAGAAAATTTTGAAAATGACAAAGAGATTCATGTCATATTGCGGCGTCGAGAAACTATATCGGCCGAATCGATGACGATAACTTTGCGACTTGAGATTGATTCGGGTATAATTCGGACGGCTTTGCCTAGACCTGCGAAACTCGGATTTATACGAATCATGTAATAGTGTCGTCTCGGAAGGTGTTGAGTCAGATACGACTCGGCCGACTTGTATCGGTATTAGCTGATGCTTTGAACCATCAATTTGAATCTTCACATTTGTTAGTCGACAATTGAAGGTGATGTGCTTTTGTGATTACATTTCCATTCTACAAAAAAAGATAAGACCCCCTGGCGATAATACCTTAAGAAACAAGCCTGCTTCGAGTAGACAAACTGTGCTAGATGGCCATCCAAGTTAAGGACAGGGAGGTGGAGCTGGTCTCAGTCCCTTGTCTAACTTGCGTGATCCATCATAATGAGTTGAAAATTCAGGTTCAGGTTCTCTGGACCAATAACGCAGTTTGGGTTGTTTACATTTAACTCTTTCTACTCCTTTCTTATCTCTTCCAAATTCCTGCATTGACCACGTGTAATACTTATGGTCGTTTTGCTTTTTCCATGCGGATGAGTTTGTTATGTGAATTCTTACATAAATGCCTAAGCTTTCAAAAAATGTACATCTTACTTGGCTTATTAAATGTAAAAGGGAACATTCCTATATAAAGTTTTTATTGTTGCAACCCAAAGAAAAGTTACTCTACTATTCATTCTAACCCACAGATTCATTCATACAACCACGCAGACTCGCATAGAGTCTTATCATAGTCTGTGCACCCATTATCCATTGTTGAAACACATAGTAAGCTTGACGAAGTTTATGTCTCCATATATATTTTCTTGCAGGGTGAGGGTTCAAATATTGAAGCTTTTGCCTCTGGGACTTTGGATGCTTCCTTGTGTTGGAAGGTATGAAGTAATAATTTACTTTTGGGGACCTTGTAATTATCTGGCTTTGCAGAAATCTATCGTGTAAGGTGTTGGTGTTTGACCTGACATTTCATTTGCTTGGAAGCACCAATTAGGATATCTAAATTATCGTTCTACTCCTCGTATACTGTTGTACTGCTTATATCGTAAAGTATCTATACCCGCCTCACAACTCACGGGTCACTAATTTATAGAGTTGTCGAGACAGAAGAATAAACCAAAAGTACCTGATATCACTTACTCTTATATGAGTTCTCTAGTAAATTTTTGTCAGTGTTAAGAATTTATTCCACATTGATCAAATAACATCTCTTGTATATGCGGCTTTTGGTCCTCTCCACTCATAGCCAGTTTTAGGTTGGATGTCTCTAACAAAGTATCGAAGTTTGGCTTGGGGAGGGTTTGGGAAAGACTCAATTTATTTGATGGCAATTGATTCCCCATTTGTTCATGTCATAGGTGCACTTGTCATGTGTCTGAATTTATCTTGTAATTCTTTTCTGTAAGTTCCCATATACGTGTGGGGAGTGCTAGATTGTCTCACATCGGGAAAGTAACACCTCCCATTCCCAAACTAGTATATTACTGGTGGGCCTCTCAACTCATAGCCAATTAATTTTGGATTAAATGCTTTTAACAAGAAGTTATTAAGGTCTAAAGTGATTTGCTTTACATTCTTTTCGGTTTAATTAGAATTTGAGGAACTTTGCAGGATATAGCATGGTTAAAATCCATTACAAGCTTGCGGATTCTGATCAAGGGGGTATGAGGATGGTAACCTCATGACTCTTTTAGATTTTTGCATATCTTCATTTGTATGTGACCTTCCCCAATTAGACTGGGACCCTTTGAAAATACGAGTAGTTTAGCGCATCCATTGAAATTATGTCTCCTTGCATGTTCTTAGAAGTTGAGAGTTACTTTATTTTTAGAAGTAATCACATTTATTGAGTATTTAGCATGCACTTGGCAGCGACAAAAGCTATGGAAGTAGGAATTTTTAGAATTGTTTGATGAGCCCGAATTTGATTGGGTTCAATTAAAATAAACTGCGAAGTCCAAGTACTTAGGACAGAGCCTAGGGGAAGCTAGGCTGATCCATCATAAGGAAATCCAAGAAGGCATCAAGAGGCGGACGTCTAAGAGGCCAACGTCCAAGATACCAACGCCCAAGAGGCCAACGTCCAAGCACTTAGGGCGCCGCCCAGGGGTCACCCAACCCAGGCGCCGCCCAAGGCTGCCCCCTTGTCTTCCCACGTCCTCTTGACTCCAATGCAAGTTCAAGCCTACTCTGAATCAAGTTCAAAGTCAAGACCAAGTCTAGTCCAACTCAAAATCTTCCTCCGATTGAATAGGAGCACGAGGGAGAGAATGTCGGGATGGAGATCTAAACTTTCAATGATTGCACTTACCAAAATAGTGGAGGATTTCTTACTCACGTCACCGCCTCACTGTCTTACCCTAACTATATAATGTACGCCCTCTCAACATTGAGGGTACGCCTCTGAAACCTCTACACCTCCCCTTATACACACTCCTCTCTCCCTCTCCAAGCACTGTAATCCTCCTTGAGAATACTCTTTCCGGGGATTTCACCCATTAATAGAAGTCTCAGGCCACCACTGCCATCTACGAGAGTGGAGTAGGTCACCCGGACCAAATCACTATAAATCTCTGTGTTAGCTCTTTATTTACTGTTTTACCATTAATTGTCTGTTTATTGCTCATTGATTGCCTCTGTCTATATTCTTGACTGTTGATCTTGCACAACATCGATTTTTGCAACATCATGGAGATCAGTAGCTAGATTATGCTCCAGCCACAATTTCGGCTTTGGAAGAGGTGAGACTCAATGTACTCTTCAGATTTTATGGTGTTGGATGCAGATGTGCTAGCATTTTAAATTGCGTACATTTAATCAAAGAAATTAGTTCCTATTTTATATTATGAGTTAGTTGCATATAGAAAAAGGTGTGTTGTCATGTAAGAGTCTATTGACGTAGATGATTGGAAAATGGGAAAGAAGATTATAAGCTGAATCTGTGATTCAGTTGTATTGTTTGAAACCTTCGCATCCACCTCTACCCCAATCATTATTTATTTAGGCATAGTTTGTCTACTAAATTAAAGACATCCGCATGATATGGAACTTAAGCTAACCCAATTAATTAGAACTAGGCTTTATCAAGTTTTTTTTTTTTTTTTTGTATGACATTGAAATTTGAGCTGCACTTTCATACTAGTAAATGTATAGTTTTGGTGGGGTACCCACAAGCATGAAGTATAACATGGATATGGTACATTCAGACTTGAAGACATGGCAAATCCTATTTATACACAGCTACACAAACAACATGCGAAAACCATTAAGCCAAGATAAATAAATCATCTACCCATTCCTTTGACATCAACATTTTGATTGATGGGTCATAATAGTTTATAATCACTCTTTTGATTGATGAGAACAACAAAGTATACATGATTATGATTAATTCTCTCATCCTCCCATACTACTCTTGTATGAACTTCATGTGCATTAATATCTTTTTCTCACTAAACTTTAAATTCAACTCGCTATGACTAGTCTTGACACAAACTTTTTCCCATGATATCACAGTCATGTCTCAACTGTCATGTTTTGTGAATCAGGTTTCCAAGTGTCGAAAAAGAGTGGCCACATGGCTTTTGGTGTGTCCAAGCTATGGCCAAAGGTGTATCAGATATTGGGCTGCTTTTTTAATATGAATGTACATGACCAAAATACTGCCCAAAGCCAGACACATGTCCAAGAGTGTTGGAGAAGTTTTGATCTCTGACACATGTCCGATTCCCAACCCAAACGACACCTTAGAAGTGTCCATGCTTCCAATACCGGGAGCCTTTTCCTCTAGTTGTAAGTATTTGGCATCAAGTGA